TAAAAAGAGAGTTTTAGGAAGACGGGAAGCATACACAAAGACCCTCAGACAGGAAACCCTCCTCAAAGCTTAGGAAATAAATGAATAGCTAGAACACAGAGAACTAGGTTAGGCACCTCTAAATGAGGTTTTCCAGGCAGATTCTTCCCCAGTCACACAGGGTATTGCTGGCCATATTGAGGATTTTACTCTTTATCCTCAAGGTAATGGGATGCTCAGAAGGATTTTAAACAGGGGAAGGACTTGACAACATTTTAAAAAAGATTCTGCTTGCAGAATACAGAACATATTTGAGTGGACTAGAGAGGATGTGGAGAGACCACCCAGGTGGCTATTACAATTTAGCAAGCAAGAGATAGTGGTGGATTGGCATAGGGATGTACGGAGGAGCTGGAGGGAAGGATGGAGCTAACATCAAGAGATTTATCAAAGGGAAAAATTATCACTCTGTGTGATGGATTGGATGTAGGGAGTGAAGGGGAGAACAGTGGCAAGAGTGGCATGTCATTTCCTACCCATTTTAAATCATTTCTATCTGTCACAGACAGTAGGAAGGATATGTCTATATATATCATTATTCCTCATAAATTCTGGAATACCCAAAGCACCATAGCCATATCTATATCTATATCTGTTTCTGCATCTATATTGGTATATGTATTTATAATACATATATACACACACACATATATATTTGGGACTGGAGTTTGAACTCAGGACTTTGCACTTGCAAAGCAGATGCTCTACTGCTTGAGCCACACCTCTAGTTTATTTTGCTCTGGTTATTTTGGAGATTAGGTCTCTCAAACTGTTTGTCCAGGTTGGCCTTGAGCAGAGATCTCTGCCTCCCAAGTAGCTAGGATTACAGGTATGAGCCACAGGTTCCCAGTACATCAGAGCTACTTAAAAACACAACTGATCTCCAACTCTGTACAACTTTGTTCAGGGGTCCTAACCAACTCTCTACAGAATAAGCACAGTAAATTAAAGAGAAGAAAAGGGATGAGGAGAAGCGGAGAACCCACTAGGTAAAAATGACATCTATTGAGTGCTTACTATGTACACTTGACATGCATTTATCAGCACTGTTGAAATCTTGATAAACTGAAGATTCTGTCAGTTAGGCTGGGGTGACATGAAATGGTGCATTTCTGACAAGTCTGGGTGAGGCTGACATTGTGAATCTTTAGAACACATTCTGGATGGAAAAGGATTATATCATTTAATCCTAACAAATATCTTATTAGTAAATAAAACTATCACCATTAAAACAATGGTAGATCTGAGATCAGGAGATATTAATCACTCTAAAGACATTCAGCTAACAAGGGCAGTTTTGGGGTTAGGGTACAAGTCTCCTTTGCCTTAGAATCTTGGTCTCTAAGTACCAAGATAGGCCACTTCCCCTCCAGAGTGATGTTCTGGATCTTTTGTTTTTTTTTCCCTTAGGGCATCCATTGCATAAGAAATTCATGTCTTCGGAATTTGATCTAGGCAAGGGTTCATCATGCTTACTTTTATGTAGCTGTATCTAATCTTTCCCTGTCAAGATGAGAGGGCCCTGAAGCGATGCATAGGAGATCAGATCAAATATAGGATGCCTGTCACCCCCAGCTACTGAACTACTGTCTATTCTCTAACTTTGATAATCAGCACAATTATTTTTATGTTGCAAATAGAGTAAGACATACTTCTGTTCAAATGGGAAATTGTTTTTGGGCCCAGGACCAGGTGCTTGTCACTCGAAGGCTAAAACTCAAAAGAGGCAAGTTGGTGGGAAGGAAATCAGTTCTATTCAAAAGTGAGCATCCTGAGAAGATGGAAGGGCTATCATCTTCAAAGTTCCATTTTGGGGAATTTAGGCATATGAAGATGATTTAGAGGGAGGTACGGGGGGCAATGGGAAGGAATACTAAGTGCCAGATAGAGTCTTCATCATCTAGGGCATTTGTTTTCTTCTTTAGCTAGAGTATGATAACAGACTAGTTCCTATAGCTCTTTAGACAGACATATACTTTTCTGCAAGTTAAACCTGATGATAATCTGCATGCTTTGCATTAGCTGCTGACCACAGCTAAAGAATAAGGAGAGGTGTTTCATATTACAATATAATCTGAAGGTCTCCAAATGTTTTGGGTTATGTAAATTTAAAGAAAGTGTATTCAGTCGTTAACAACTTAATCAAGCAAGTGTGATTTGTCTTTAGAATTTAGAATGCCTGGTAAAACCATGGGGCACAGCCTTATGAAGGGTTTAGGGATGGAATGTGAGTACTCAGGAGTCTGAGGCAGAATTGTGAGTTCCAGGTCAGTTTGAGCTACTTAAGGAGACCCTGCCTCAAACAAACAAACAAAAGAAAAGGAAAAAGAAAAACAGCTGAAGGAGTGCTCTCTGTTACATAATGACTTCTCTGAAGAGAGTGAAAATTTCTCAAGACAATGTTCCAGAGCAAATGCAGACAGACTAGGACATAAATCTTGAGAAAGTAACCTTTCATGGGAACAAGATCTTCCTCTCCTTAGGGCCAGCAATTCTCACCTTGGGATACATATCAGAAATACCTACAGAGCTCTTTAAGAAAAACAAATAAAAAGTTGGCCTCAAGTAACCCAAAGCTGGCCTTTGTATGTGTGTTGTAACAAAGACTTGCCAGTTAATTCTGACAGGCTGCTCTGTATAGGAATCCCTGCCTAGTTTAGAGAATCAGAGCAACTTCATCAAGAGTCAGCAAAGCCCTTCCTGGTTAGTTTTATTCTTTGGCAAGACTATGATTTGGGGGAGAAAAAGGAATATCTAGACTGGGGTTGACAACTGGTTCTTGTGCCATCTTACTTCCTATCAGCGGTAATTTACTGTTCCCTTTATGGTACACACTGACTCCCAGGCTCTGCTGTGCCCTCTCTCTCTGGACATTTCCTTTAAAATAATGTGCAAAGGAGTGCGTATGATAAAGTCTAAGTACTTTACATCCATGTATGAAAATGAAACTATAAAACTTGTTGAAATTGTTTTAGGAAGGGAGGAATGGGGGGACAGAGGGGGAAAGGAGTTAAATTTTTTCCAGGAATATTGTATACATGTATAGAAGTACCACAATGAAACCCCTTTGTATAACTAATATATGCTAATAAAAAAGAATTAAAGTTCAATTAAAAAGAAAAAGAGTGAGCTCAGTCAACTGGTAAGTGAGAGCAATCTCATTAGGACAGTATTTTAATGAGATATAAATGACCAACCTCTGCAGGGAAATTGGTTATTGACAATTTCTAAAATTCTAACTTATGTAATGATATAAAATTTCCAGTCATTGTGAAAAGAAGTTATTTTTAGAGTAGTGGGTGGAGTATTTTCTTGGTACGTTATTAGTTAGTCCTGATTAGGTGACCGTAATCTAGGAATCTGGAAATCTCAGAAAACCCCAATTAGTTATCATTCTTTTCCTTCTTTTTCCTCCTAATAGGTTTCCTCATTCCCAGTTCTTGATTCCTTCTTTATTCCCCTTCTACAACTTTCAGGTAGAGCTCAGGTTGAACATGCCTCTGCTTTCTTCTTTCCTTTCTTACTAATTGAGTACCTGCTACCGTGTAGTACATTGTGGATAAAAAGTTGGAAAGAGATGTCTTTGCCCCGAGAGAGCTCTAAGAGTCCTGGCGAGAACTTGCAGTGTGCTGGGAGAGGGTTGTAAACACAAAGCAGCACCAGAGACCCTAAGGCCACACACCTGAGCTAGAACAGAAGGAAAGAGACTCCAGGAGAATGTTGGTCTAATATGAGTTTTGAGCGTGAAGAACGGTAAGCTAGACAGATGTGGTGGCAGAGATATTTTAAGGAAGAGGAATATCCTGCTTTAAGGCCTGACTCAACAACCTATAGCCCCAAGAGCTCAGTGTGGCTGCAGCTCACACAGAACATGGGGTTACTAGGCAGAAGTCCGAGCAGTGAGGATTTGGTACATCACATTTGTTATCTGGTTTTCCTTTTCAATTATGAGCTCACAACAAACATTTATAAATAAAAAAAACACATATGATTTAAAAATTAGACTGAGCTGATAATGAGTAGGGATGTCCTAGATTATTCCTTCTCCCTACCCATGTCTCATTCCCAGGAATCACAACTTTTTACTTCTTTTAGTTCTTCGCTACTGTTGTCATCTTTATATGTTAATCAAATATAGACATTAGTGAATTTCTACTATGGTAAGGATTTAGGAAACACCCTTCACTGCCATCTCTCCTGCATTTTTATCCTGAAGGTAGCTAGGAGAAGCATTAGACAGAGAGGCAAGCTGGTGATATTTGTATTTTAGATATATCAGTGCAGAAGCTTTAAGAAGAATGGGTTGAAAAGAGAAATTGGATACAGGGTAAAAAAGATGATAGCATCCATGTATTTGCCTTAAGGCATTAGTTCAGTAAAGTGAGGAAAATGGAAGACTGAATGAACAAGGCTTGAGAATGAGTACCTCTGATATAACATTGATCTTGACCTCCAAACCTTACTGTAAGGATCACAATCTAGAGAACTATGGATTAACCTCTCGATATAGACAGAAAATCTTGAATACGATCCCTAAAGAATAAAATTTTAAAAATTGAAAGGAAAATTCATTTGTTTGGGTTTAAGGTTTAGCTCTAAGGATGTCAAGGTGTCTAATCAAAGGGGAATTCTTATTATCATTTCAAGAAGCATCAAAATCAATTACTAACATTGAATACCCCTTTCCATTCTTAACTACATGAAGAGTATCTATTCTAAATAGAGCCAACATTACATATTAAGGTGAAACACTAGAATTCCTTTAAAATTAAAAGCCAAGTATTTTTAAAAGCCCACTATTATAATTTTTATGGCAAATTTAACACACATAATTTTTTTTCCAGAGAGAACAGTTTAAAATTAAAAACGAAACAAGAACATGTATTGGTGTTGAAGAATAGCAAGTCAAGGGGTCCTTAGGAGACCCTATACTCTGTGGCCTGGTGTTAGGGAGGGGACCCATGGGGACAGTCCGGGGCAGTCAGGTACTAGGCAGAGCAACACCCAAAGATTGAGGTTTCTTGATGTCTCACTTACTCGTGCAGGGGAATGCCTCCATGTAAAAGTATCTGCTAAATAAGCAAAAGGGAGCTGGAAATGGGAAGTCACTAGGAGAGTTGTGTTCCCCCAAATTTTCTGTTAGTTGTTTTTTCATCTCTTGAGGGCACAGCTGGTGCCACTCCCTCTCTGGCCCCTAGAGGTGCTCTGATCTTCACAGATCCCTTGGCCACCCTCCACACAAGAAAAGTTTGGTGGCATTTTCCAGACAAGATACAAAGTTTTTAAAATAATTCAGCCATTTTGTACAGACATAGATATAACATAGGTACAGTTATCTTCTTTATATATTTAATACTATTTCTAAAGTTGATGTGTTTATTATTTATTAGATGGGTCTAAAAAGGAGTAGGAATGTTTTAGAATAGAAGATAGATGATATAGGAACATTAAAATAAATAGGAACACAATCCATGAATTCCATTTCAGGAGAGAGGAAAAGGGATTGAATGACAGTTGCTAGGGCTGAGTACAAAACAATAATGAACTCTGAAGCAGCGTAAGAGCTTCATGAATGTATTGCAATTACTTATTCAATTTTATGTGAGAATTGTCCACATATAAACATCTTTTCTGGAAAGAGGGTCCACAGTCTTTCATATATTCTCAGGTGGGCACATGACTTCAAAAATTTAAGGATAATTAACATCTGTGTTGTGTTACAGAACTTTCACTGTGAGGTAACAGGCACTGAAGTAGGATGATCTTCATTTGCCTTTGATCCTAGGACTTCTACATCTACTGCTCAGGACAGGCAGGGACTCTTTTTGAGAACTAAAATCCATAAAACATCTGTAGCTCTATTTATACCCTATTCTTTATTGCCAAATTATAATAAAACCACAATGAATGTATCTATGGTCCCTTATGGCTTATAAAATCCATCCAAATATATCATCTAATGTGAGCTTCATAATAATTCTGGGAGGAAAGCATTGGAGATCCCATTCTACCCATGAGAAGACTTGGATTGAGAGATCTTCAATGTCTCATTAGAGCTAGTATGTTCATAGTCGAACCTGAATTCTAAGATTGCTTACCATTTCTTCTACCTAGCATGAGCCACGATGAGATTGGAAAAGCTTCACTTTCCCCATGACTGCAAACATCGCAAGCCACTAAGATTCCTTTTACACTTGGTATTCTTTTTGTTTTGTTTTGTTTGAGACAGGGTTTTCCCATGTAGCACAGGCCACAGGATGGCCTGAAGCTCATTAGATAGCCAAGGTTGTCCTTGAACTCATGATCATCTTGCTTCAGCCTCCCAAATGCTGGGATTACACATGTGTACCACCATGCCTGGGATTTCATTTGTTCATTTCATTTAACTTGGTGTTTTCAAATGTCTTCTCACCTGCTCAGTACACACATCATAAATTACTGCTCACAGCATGTACAGACATAGCATATGACTATGGTCATAATATATGTATAGTCATTAGCATATGACCATACAGTAAATCTTGGACACATAGACTATTGTCCCAGTCACAAAGTTAGTCACAATGGGGACTATAATGGGGTAGTGATGATGGAGGGGATGTGAGGAGCTCTTTCTCATCTTGGATAGACCGTGGCAGCTCTAGACAACTTGCCCAAATGGACTCCATTCTCCACCCATCAGAAAGCATTTCTTCTTTTGACTTTCCCTCCATAGGAGGCCTATGTGACTTACCAGGATAATGTCCGATTGGTTGGGGAGCTGGTGACCATCACTGGGGCTGTGATTATCCTGCTGCTAGAGGTGAGGTGCAAGGAGGTCCAGGCTAAGACCGTCCATCTGAGGCCCCAGACCAACTCCCAGACCAACATTGTCTTTTGTTTTTCCACCCTCTTCCCAGATCCCAGACATTTTCAGAGTTGGTGCGTCTCAGTATTTTGGACAGACAGTCCTTGGGGGGCCATTTCATGTCATCATGTGAGTGCCTTTTAGCCCCTGCCTTCACTTACCAGAGTTATTCCAGGTTTGCAGATAACTCTCTGGGATCTAAATGTCAGGTGACCCTCACTCCAAGGATTTATCTGTAGTGGGCACTTGGCTACAACTATATGTGCCTTTTAGATGTTAGAAGTAAGCCTAATACCTGGTACCACCTTGGCAGCACCTAACTCACGAACATGTTAGAGGGGAACTAAAATATTCCCAGCTCCCATCTCACAATTTGCTTCCTGCTCTTCATCCCCCATCCCAGCATTGCCTATGCCTCCCTTGTGCTGGTGACCATGGTGATGCGGCTCACCAATGTGAATGGGGAGGTGGTACCCATGTCCTTGGCCCTGGTGCTGGGCTGGTGCAGTGTCATGTACTTCACTCGAGGATTCCAGATGCTGGGTCCCTTCACCATCATGATCCAGAAGGTCAGTGCTTTCCCAAACCTCCCTCTGGCTTAGCCACAGGACCTTCCCAGACAGAAGGATGGGGATAGGTGCAAAGAGAAACTGCTGCTCAGAGTAGAGCTGGAGGAACCATGATGGAACCTCTTGATTTGTCAGCAACAGTTGCTTAGAGACAGTGGAGAAAGAATAACTCCAATCTTCTTCCTCTCTCTTTCCTGAAGATGATATTTGGAGACTTAATGCGTTTCTGCTGGCTGATGGCTATGGTCATTCTGGGATTTGCCTCAGGTAAGAGCATTACACCTTTTTCTAGATCATTGGATGCAGATCTCCTGCTCTCAGTTCTCACTTATATTCCATTTTGTCCTTTCTGTTGTTTCTTGTTACAATTTGAGTCTAAAAGCATACCTTTATCCATAGGGTTGGGACTACTCAGGTTGGCCTAAAAGGTGAACTCATAGATTCATTACATTCACATTAACTAACTGCCCTGAAAGATATTTAAAGGAGAGCTGGAAAAAGGCCTTTGGAGAGAGAGCAACATTAAACAGGAAATGCTGGACAGTATTTCCTCAAAAAACTATTTAGGCAAACAGAGACAGTGTAATGTTTATCCTTCCCATGTTTACAGTTCAGAAGAAGAGACATAAAGTGTTCACAGAGAGAATGTGCTCTCTTTCTATATGTAGCTGTTTAAAGTTAGGATAAAAGGAAAGAATTAGAAAAAGGAAGTACAGTGAAAGAGTTCCGAAGAGTCTGAAGCATGGCAGAGAAAACAGAAAAAGAGAAGTTGGGAAGAAACTGAGAGAAGAGGGATGTGCAGGAACTCAGTCATGGTACAGTGGAGAGTGCCAGAGAACATGGAAATGAACAGCACAGGAAGGAAAAACAGGTAGAGAAAGAACAGAGGGAATGTGAATGAGTAGAAGAGAGTTGTTAGAGTTGGAAAGAGGAAGATCCAAGTCTGAGGAGCGAAAAGCCAGCAGCTCTAACTCAGTCCTCAAGGTCTGCAAATTGTTGTCCATATTAGTTTTGAAGACCCTAAACTCTAAACGACTAAGACTCTTTACAGAGAACTCTATTACTATCCCCAGAAATTTTCTTGTTCATTGAGGTTTTCCACAAAACACATATGCAGATTATAAAATAGGTCAATGGTAACAGCCATTTTTTTAGGTGTCCTATCACTAGAATTCCCTAAAGGATCACTTCTTTGCCATTGCACTTACTTTTTTTTTCTTAAGTAATGAAGCAGTTATTTATCCTACATCCTACTTCTTCTCTGGAATCATCTTGCTGATATTTCAGTACCCCATGCAGATAGAAGCCATTTAAAGGGTCTAGTGCAATTACAAGGTTTCAGGATACCTAACTACTATCTAGTAGACCACACATCTAGGAAGGATAACTTTTCCCTGATGGTCCAAGCTCATCTAGGAAATCTTAGAGTGATGGATAATTATCTAGAAGCCATCAAGGTAAAAAAAAAAAAGGTGCTCTTCGTTCAGCCTTATTACGTGCTCTATTCTTTAAAATTGTTGCAGATTCCATGCATTCTTTTAAGGACTTATCTTTCAAATATTTGTTTTTCTAAAAGTAAGAGCTTGTTAGGTGACTTATTACGCATATACATGCACACATTTTTTTGATAAATGGCTGAGTATTATCATTGCCTAGCATAATGAACTTAGTCATAGACTGTCTTAAGGTTAGCCAGCTCCATAAGTAACTACATTTATGGATGTGTATTTGTGTTTACCAGTGTAAGTGCTTAGAGATATATATGTCAGAAGTGGAATGAATACTAACCATGCCCATGCTTACTGTGATAATTTCATTTCTCATCTCCATGTCCTCCTCCCGGGCGGAGCAGCCTTCTATATCATTTTCCAGACAGAGGACCCAACTAATCTGGGGGAATTCTCAGACTATCCCACGGCACTGTTCAGCACCTTTGAACTATTCCTCACCATCATTGATGCCCCTGCCAACTACAGCGTGGATCTACCCTTCATGTACAGCATCACTTATTCTGCTTTTGCCATCATTGCCACACTACTCATGCTTAACCTGTTCATTGCCATGATGGGCGACACTCACTGGCGAGTGGCCCAGGAGCGGGATGAACTCTGGAGGGCCCAGGTGAATTTATTAGTGTTAGTCTTGCTACAAGGAAGGGGCTGGAAAGAAAAATCAGCATGGGATATGTTATGGTGGACCACTCTTAGGAGAATCACAGGATGAATGGAGGGTACAGAAACAGAGTAAAATGGAGGATATGGACAAGAGATGGGTCTTATGTAACAATAATCTTTTAGAGTCTGCTATGTGTTGGGAACTATTTAGTTGCTAGAGCACAAACACAAACACCAGAGATACAACCAACCTGTACCCTCATGGACCTTCCAGGCTAGTTGCAAAGACAGACAATAAGCAAGTAACTTCACAGAAGGCTGCAAAATAACAGAAGTAAAAGTGCTGCAGAGAAGTACAAGGTGCTAAGAAGGATGTGACTAAGAAATCTAACTTTTAATTTAAGATAAGGCCACTCACAGTCTATTATGGAGAATAGACTAACCACAATTATATGCAGCTCAGTTTACTAAAACTAATGAACTGAGAGTGGTGAAGGAATGATTATGTGGATGAAAGGTGAGTTATGTTACTAGAAAAAAAGGGGGGGAGCCTGGATAATGGTGGAAGAACAATGAGTGTGCATTTTGAGGACAAGAAGAACTTTCCAGGAAGAGAGAACAGAACGATTGGACATCCTGGGGTAGGAGAAAATTTGGTGCAGCTAAGAAGCTAGGAGAAGTATAGAGCAATGAGAAAGACAGTGGAAGAACATAATGTACAAAGCCAGCTATATTAGGATTGCTAGATTCTTCTACTACTAAGGCCTCCTGGCCCCAACCCATCCTCAGTGCACACTCTGTTCTTGCACTAATAGATCATAGTCCTTTTGAAACTAAAATGACCCTTGATAATGGGAGCAGTGTAGTACAAGGAGAGGTTGTGCCTTTCCTTGCTTTGGACATAACGTTACTATCAATAGTACTTAAAATGGGGTCAAGTCTTCAAGCAAAGATACAACTGGTACTTTCTAAGCTAGAACCCCTGAATTTTGTTATGACTTACTTTACTAAGCTCTTTAAACATAATGTAATACCTCACATTTATGTTATTGGCTTTAGGACAGCATTCCATTTTGGTAAGATCATTTTATATTGCTTTTGTCATTCTATATATGTCCCTCCCAGATTTGTGTCACAGGTGTATTTGATAAGCTTGATTTCTATGTTTCATCTAGGAAGTATGAGGGCTTGGCAAAGGACAGAACATGGGGCATACTACTAGACGTTCCCCTGTCAGCCATATAGCTAATAATCAACTCTTTTCCTTCCCAAGATATGAATATTTAATTTGCTATGAACTCCCTGAGCTGGGGCAGCATCACTGTCATCCCTGAGATCATACGGATTCTATTTAATCATTTTACTTAAGTCAAGATCATTGGTCTGTGGCTTTCCTATGAAAAAGGAAATGAAATTACTTTAGAATGACTCATATTCCATGAATCTGAATAATAATGTAGGGGTTACTGTTTTATTCAAAACAAACTATCCTCTGTCCTTTTCTGATGAGAAAAGCAGGTCAGTATCATCCTGGTACAGAATAGAGATGGATAAATGGTGGTCCTTACAGCTGGTCTCTAGGGTCCTATTGCTTTTAGTTCTCTTTGTGTTTTGGTGGCCTCCGTCTCTCTGACATCGTCTCTTTCTGAATTATTCTCTGCCTCTTACCTTCTTCCAGGTTGTGGCCACCACAGTGATGCTAGAGAGGAAGATGCCCCGCTTCCTCTGGCCTCGCTCAGGGATCTGTGGGTATGAGTATGGCCTGGGAGACCGCTGGTTCTTGAGGTAAGTGACAATGTACATGTGTGACCTGTACATGTGTGTGAATCACAGGGGTGAGGGCTACCAGGAGATGTCATGAGACTGCATTAATCTGCCTTTTTAAAAAATCTTACCATACATTCATTGTACAAAACGTTTTCATTCTGATATTTAAATATGCATTTAGTGTACTTTGATCAAATTCACCCCACTGTTCTTTCTCCCAGTTTAGCCTCTACTCTATCCTCTTCTCTTCACTTGATTCTAGATGCTCTTCTTGCTTAAATCCTGGTCCTATCTTTCTCTTTCCTTGTGATCCTATTTCTTCCATGTTCACCTCTGCTTCCCCACATGGCCTGTCTCTCCTAACTTCAACTGAGCTCTTTTTGCTCTCCCTCATCAGAGTTGAGAACCAACATGACCAGAATCCTTTTCGGGTGCTTCGCTATGTGGAAGCTTTCAAATGCTCAGACAAGGAGGATGGACAAGAGCAACTTTCTGAGAAACACACTTCTGTTGCTGAGAGTGGGACTCTAGCCAGAGCCTCTTTGGTCTTCCAAACACCTTCCCTGTCCAGGACGACATCCCAAAGCAGCAGCAGTCACCGAGGTTGGGAGATCCTTCGTCGAAATACACTAGGACCTTTGAGTCTTGGACAGGACCTTGGTGAAGGGGATGGAGAGGAAATCTACCATTTCTGATGAGAATCCCCATTATGATTGACCTGGATCTTAACCTGGTCTAGATGGGGGAAGTGAGGGAGATGCCTTCATATGCAAGTGTCTTACTTCCATTCCTGTTAATGAATCATGGCAAGGTGTGGACAGAATAGCTCCTAAAGGGCTCCATCTCACCCCTCACAGCAGCATTTCTGGAGATCAGCAATGGCCATCTATTGTTGCATGTATCTTGTAGGTTCTTGGAAGTCTTACATCTTGGGAAAAGTCGATAGCTTTTTGAGTAAAGTTGTACCTGGCAACTGAAGACACGAGGGAGGCTAGATTAATGTCTGTATCATCTCTCTTCTGCCCAATCCAGGCACCAAAAAGTAGTATGCAGTGAGGCATGTCAGGTTCCATGGCTTACTGTGGGAAGAGACAGCATGGCATAGAGCTGTGACCCTTCCTCTTTTCCTACCCCTGTAAGACTCTCTCCTTACCTAGCAACCAGGCTGCAACTAAGAAATTGCAAGAAGAAAGATTCCTTATCCTTGCTTGCTTTAAATGATTTCTTATTGTGGCAAAATACATGTAATATACCATTTTAAATATTTTTAGATTTAGAATCCAGTGGCATGAAATACATTCTGGTTGTTGTGCAACCATCAACACTATTCATTTGTAGAAGTTTTCCATAATCATAAATTGAAACACATATCCACTGAAAAGTAACTCTCCACTATTCCCTTTAGTTCCTGATAGCCAATATTTTACTTTCTGTCTATGAATTTGACTCTCCTAAGTACCTCATGTGAGTGGAATCTGGCACTTGTGGTAGTTCTAGTGTGTCTGGCCAATTTCACTTAGCATAATAGTCTCAAGGTTTCATCCATGTTGCAGCAGATTCAGAAATTCATTCCTTTTTAAGGCTGAATGTTATTTCATTGTGTGTGTGCACACATGCATGCACACCACACCACAATTTGTTTATTCATTTATCAATGGATATTGTGTTTTCCCCCACCTTTTGTCTATTGAGAATAATGCTATTATGAAACTGAGAGTACAAATATCTGTTGAAATCGCTGTTTCCGGTTCTTTGGGGGCATATACCTAGAAATGGAATTGCGGGATCATATGACAATCCTATGTTTAATTTTTTGAAGAACTGCCATAGTGTTGTCCACATGGGCTTCATCATTTCATATTCTCTCTTGATGGGTATGAAATGGTATTAATTGTAATTTTGATTTACCTTTCCTTAAAGACTAAGAATATTGAACATCTTTTCACTAACTTATTTATGGGACATTTGTATATCTTTAGGAAAATGTTTAAGTTTTTGCCTCCTTTTGAATATGGTTGCTTTATTGCTGTAGTTGTTGAGTTGTGTTATCTTCTTTTTCAGACTCAGAGTCTCAAGTGTTGTATCTCATTTGCATCCTGGTGTGTTTTTAAGTCTGGGTGATGAATTATGCCTTACTATGCTTGAATAACCCAGTCATTTCTTCAAGTGGACTGTCATTGCCCTCTCCAAGATGGCTCATTTGTAGCTAATTATGCTTAAGCTTGAAGGCAAAGGTTCTTCCTTTGTATCCTGAAACTGCCACGCTCCACCCTCATGTCCTTTTGCCCCTATGCTGAGTTGTAAAGTGAACAGTAATAATAAAGGACAGGACATACCTACTGGGAGGAAAATTTGGAACTAAGTGTCCAGGGTTCCCATTACAGAGCTCATATATAACCCTTTTGTCCCCATCCCTTATGTCTCATCAGGACTGTATACGCGTGTGCAAATACATATGCTTATACACATTGGTGACATGGACCTTACGAAAGCTGAGTCACCATAACTCCTCCTCCTTATTCTCATTTATGGTGGAAGCACTCCATGACCATCTGAAGTGAAGATAAACTCCCATCTGTGTTCCAGATCCTGTTCTGTTTTCAGACACCTGTGTCCATTCTGTCTTCTATGACCGTTCTCACTTGTGTTATCTTCAACCTCTCCTTCTCTTACTAGCTCTGTGAGCAAGTAAACATGCTTCATTCCTTACAGCCTCCTTCAACCCCACCTCTCCTTTCAACAACTGCCCTTTTTTATTCCCTGTTCAAGGCCAGACTTCTTAAGTGCAGACTTCATTGTCTAGTGGCCTTCCGCTGATTTCTCAACCCATTGTGATTTGACCTGATTCTTCTCTATGCTGCTGATCCCACTCTTGTCTGAGTTATCTCCCTGAAGTTAAACCTACTGATTCATCTTAGTTTTGCTTGAACCATGTAGCATTCTGACTACAGTTGACTGCTTACCACTTTTCACATTCCTACCACTCTGGCTGCTTCTATTCCACCACTCCCTTAAGTAATTTTGGTCCACAAGGCTCTCTGATTTTGACCACCTGGACCGTCTTACCTACTGCCATAGATTACCACGTACAGCTTTATGATTCATAAGTTCCTGTCTTTGGTTTGGATCTGTCTGCTGAGCTCTAGGCAGGAGCAGCTTGGATGCCCATCTATTGGACTGTTCTATTTGGATATTTTATAGGCACCTCAAATTCAGCATGTCCTAAACTGAGCAGCTTTTCTTTCTCACCAAACCTGCTCCTCCACCAGTGTTCTCAACCAAATAAGTCACAATGCAACAGGCAAAGTTGCCTAAACCAGAATCTGAGGTGTAATCCTCAATGCTTCTGTCTCAGCTCTCATATGCAACAAATCTCAAGTCTTGTGGATAGTCTATTCCCTAAAACATCTTTGAAAAAAACCTGATTCTGATTAAATGGGAAAAATAAGCTTTCCTACCTCTGCCTCAGCTCTGCAGGTATTTTCTCCAGTGATATTCACTAATAAAAATTTGTCATTTATCTTTCCAAAAATGCTCAGCATATGTGTGTGTATGTTTTTCTTAAAAATAATATCAAAGGGTAGGATATTAGAAAAACAATTTTTGTTTTTCTCATTTAGTGTATTTTAAAGACTGTTCCATACCAGCATAACATTAAGAAAAACCCCAGCCAGGCATGGTGGTTTACATCTATAATCCCAGCACTATGGGGGCTGAGACAGGATGATCTTGAGTTAAAGGACAGCCTGGGCTATATGGAGAGACCCTGACTCAAAACAAAACAAAACAAAACAACAAAAACCTTCCATTTGTTTTTTGCTTCCACAAACACTACTGTTGCCATTCTTTGAAAATGGGCCACCGTCATTTCCCTCCTACTTTATGGTGTATGCTCCTAATTGCTGTCTTTGCTTGCAGTCTGTTCTTCTCCAATGCACAGTACACACTACACATGTAATGATCTTTGTAGGATGCAACCCTGCCTCAGACTATGGTCTTTGGGAAGCACTCCCCTTAGTTAATGCCTGGCAACCTCTCTCGCCATCTCTCTCTTCCTGTACCCAAATGAATTATTTTTTGTTCCTGGATAGTAATTCCCCTTTCTCTTGATCTTTATGATTTATGAACCCTCCTACATCTCTGCACTGATTCTCCCTACCATGAACCTTTTGTTCATCCTATTGGGATCAGCTTACTCATTTATTTTTGGTGATACTGGGACTTGAACCCAGGGCTTCAGGCTTGTTAGGCAATGCTCTACCACTTGAGCCACACCTCCAGTCCCTATTGGTATCAGCTTAAAGATTAGATATCTGGGGAGGAGGATGTGCACGCACATATGTGTGCACTTGTACCTACTCCCCATCACTGGAGGAGAATCCTAGGGTAGGTTTCGAGACCATTTATACTTTCTTTTGCATTAGATGCCCTGCATTTATTGCACTTATTGTTTTAAATGTCTGTTTTCTTTAGTAGACTGTAAATGCCACAAAGGCAAAATGGTGCTCATCTTATTTTCTATTGTATTCCCATAACCTGGCATAATTCCTGGTACCATGTATTGTGAAATAAATATTCATTAACTGACTTTATGAATAATTGACCTGTTTTTAGTTTAAGTTCTCCCACTGACCACACATGTACTTCAGGTTGTTTTTTAGTTTCCTGTCTCTTAAAGGAAATAAAAATAGCTACCTTTGTGTGGGGTCATGGTAATTAAAGATGAACACATATGAGTAGAAACACTTTGAAAAGAATAAAAAACAAAGCAAATGCAATTAGTGGGAAATATTTTCAGCTTAAATATACTTCTGTGTGTGTGTATGTGAGAGAGAGAGAGAG